GCTAGCCCAATTGACCTTGTTACCAAGAAGGATGGTTCTTTGCGATTATGCGTGGATTACCGTGATCTCAATAAGCGGGTAGCTAAAGAGCACTATCCCCTACCAAGAATACAGGATCAAATAGACGCTTTGTATAAATACCGCTATTTCTCACTACTTGACATGAAGGCAGGATTTCACCAAATGAAAATAGAAGAAAATTCGAAGCATCTGTTTGCTTTTATTACACCAGATGGTCATTTTGAATACAATGTAATGCCATTTGGTTTTGTTAATGCCCCATCAGCCTATCAACGAGCCATTGACAAGGCATTGGGCACCTTAAAGAACAATGTAGCTCTGGTATACATGGATGATGTTATATGTCCAGCAGAAACTAAAGAAAAAGCGTTCGAAAATCTTTCGTTGGTTCTAGATGCACTGGCTGTTGGAGGATTTTCCCTGAATTATGAGAAGTGCCGTTTTCTTCGGCAGGAAATTGATTATTTGGGTCTTCAAGTAGGTAATGGATGTGTTAAACCTAGTCCAAATAAAGTTGAGGCACTAGCCAAATCAGCACCGCCAACTGACCAACGAGGTGTTCGTCAATTTCTGGGATTAGCAAGCTATTTTCGACGATTTATCAAAAACTTTGGGGTAAGAAGAGCATCTATTACATCACTTTTACGAAAAAATAATACAACTTTTAAATGGGAAGAGTCACACGAACAAATTAGACAAGAAATCATTGAATTGCTAACAGCACAACCCATATTAAAAATTTATAATCCCGACCTCGATATAGAACTTCACACTGATGCTTCTGCATTGGGAATTGGAGGAATGCTGTTACAGAAACATGAGGGCAAAATGCACCCTGTGGCCTATTTTAGTCGCAGAACAACTGAGTGTGAGTCGAAATACCATTCGTTTGACCTTGAGACACTAGCCATCGTGGAAGCTACTCAATATTTTCGAGTTTATTTATTCGGTCATCATTTTACAATTTTTACTGATTGTAATGCAGTTCGAGCTACAGCATTAAAAAAGGAAATGCACCCGCGATTAAATTAAATTACAAGAATTTGACTTTAACATCGAATATCGTCCAGGACATAAAATGCAACATGTCGACTATCTGAGCCGTAATCCAGTTGTACGCCGGGTTGTCAAATCTGACTTGAATAAACCCCTTTTGTCTATAGAAGAATACCAAAAAGATGATGAAATTTGTAGAAAGGCTATGCAAGTAACATTGCCTATTCCTGAACAGCATCAATTTCGCATTAAAGATGGAATAGTTTACAGAATTGTAGGCCCAACAAAGGTTTTGCGTTGTTATGTACCTGAAAAAGCACGACTTCGAATTTTAAAGGCATATCATGACGATTCAACACACATTGGCGCTGGTAAAATGATTGCAAAACTACAAGAATCACTCTATTGGCCGAGGTTGCAAAAGTGCGTCCGAAAATATGTTGATAATTGTCGTGCTTGTGCATAGGAAAATCGCACACTGGTTATCGGCGAGGTCTATTTCAGTTAGGTGAAAAGCCAGATCAACCGTTGGACATATGGCATATTGATCATGCGGGACCGCTGGTTAAGTCGAATGGCTGCACGCAAATACTTGTCATAATAGATGCATTTACAAAATTTTGCAAATTAATTCCAGTTAACAAAAAGACTACACATGATGTTATTGTTGCACTTGATAAGGTTTTTGAGCAAGTTGGTGTGCCTAAAAAGATTATTGCTGATCGAGGAACTGCTTTTTCATCAAAAGATTTTGCCCAATTTTTAGAAGCCTTTGGAATAAAATTACAGCTCTAATGTGGGGTACAAATTTAGAATTGCCAGCTACACAGCCGTTGTTAAAAAATGTTAGTCTGCCAAGTATCAATATGAAAACCGCAACTGAAGCTGTAAAACAGCGTTTAATCAAAAAAAGTCAAAACACTATAGATCGGCTGAATCAAAATCGGAAGCCAGCAAACGCTTTTAATGTTGGTGATCGTGTACTGGTTGAGGATACTCAAGCTCCTGGAAGGGGAAAATTGGGCCCGAGATATAAGGGGCCATTCACTGTCAAGGAGGTGTTGCCTAATGACCGTTATTGCCTAGGGAAAGGTGGAAAGCGGGAAACTGTTGCTGCCAGCGAGCAAATGCGAATTTGGCCGACAGCTGTGTTAAACAAATTGTAAGACCAGTTTTTTTTTATTATTATCATGTTCCAGGTTTGTTTATGTTACTTTATAAATTGAGAGTCTCATATAACGTTGTTAATTAAGAATGTATTGGATTTAGAATGATTTAATTATAAAATAATAAAATTTTCAAAAGAATTATTTAATTGCTATTTTAAATAAATACAGAAAAATTGCTACCCCTTTTGCAATATGTGAAAAAGTATTAATTGAGGACACACAGGCTCCCGGCAGGGGCAAATTAGGTGCCAGGTTTAAGGGTCCGTTTGTGTTACAAAAGGTCCTAAAGAATGATCGCTACTGTCTCGGTAGTGGGGGCAAGCGAACAACGGTAGCCTCACGGGACCAGCTAAGACGTTGGCCTTCAGTAAACACTGGAAATTTGTGATCGAAACTACAAAAATTGTAAGTATTTTTGTTTTTATTTTTATTTTATTTATTTATTATTATGTGGAGAGAATCCATTTGAAAGATTTTGAAATCTTTGTAAATAGCGAGAGTTGAGGGTGCGCTGCCCGGACTGAGAGTATTAATCCAAAAGAAATATTTTGTCAGAGATTTACAAAATTTTGTCGTGTTGAAACTGAGAGTCTCAGATTCATTGTTTGATAAGGTGCGCTGCCTTGGTTGAGAGTATCAACCGAAAGAAAATAAATTGTTGGTGTTACCAAAGTTAATATTTTATGTAACTGGGAGTACCAGTTGAATTTTTGGTGAACTAGGAGTACTAGTCCACTAAATGATTAGATGTGAAATACATTAGGGAGTCCCTAATGTGATGTTTCCTGGCCCGGGAGTCCCGGTAGCCATTTAAGAGTTTAAATCAATTATACATGGGAGTCCCATAAAATAAATTTCCGATTGGTTGGGAGTATCAACAGCGTACAATGGAGAGTCTCCATGTAAAATAATTAGACAGTCCCTAAATGATGTTTGTTCCGGGAGTCCCGGTAGTCATTTGTGATTTAAGAGTCTTAAATCAGTAATTATGTGAGAGTCTCACATAATTAATTAGTTGGGAGTCCCAATATGTTAAAATTGTAGTAAATAGTAATTGTGTAAGAGTACCTCATAAGTTGTATAGAAAGGAGTGTCATCTAAGTTTTTGCTTTGATTGCAATTTTTACCTTCCAATTCTATAGTGTTCAAAGTAAGTAATGTAAGGAATTTGAAGTCCCACTAGGTTGGGTAAGGAGTCTCTGCCTCATGCTTAGTATATTACTAAAGTTACAATGAGTAATTATGATAATAAGAAAATATAAGGTGGGTAAGTTATACCACCCTAGCATGAGGGCATGCTAATTGCAGAATGGCCGTGTTAGATAAATAAATTGGTTCACGTATGGCCATGGTACGTTATTTATTGGTAATGGATATAGCTGAGATGTTATGTTTAGTTAATATCCCTGATTCATCAAAAAGTCGAGTAGTACAGAATAAACTGTAAAAACGAGGGCAGTATAAAAACTTGCGTTGAGATATATGGTTTATAGATAGAGTGCTTATCGATATATGGTTAATGTAATTAGCTCGGTGGGAGGTCGGGAGGTTGAGCTAAACAATTCTATTGTTGTTTGTAAAAATATTTACATATTGTTCTTACATATATATATATTAGGGTGTGCCAAAAAACCTCGATATTTTTTTTTTCTTGCTCTCCACCCAAAATATCGTAGAATATGTCCGAACAAATATTCTGTTAAAAGCGGAGCTCATAATTTAAATTTTAAGAGGTCCTCCATTGAATCTGAAGTTTTGCTGCTTAAATAACACAGAAAACTGACTTTTACACCTTATTTATTCTTGCAACCTAGGAAGAATTTTTTTTTTTCATAAAAACCATGACCAAATCTTACAAAGCATTAAATTTGGAAAAAAAATCTTATTAAGCCGAATTTCTATTTTCATTATTTGATTTTTTACAGAGCTTTAAATTTAAAATTTTACGTTTTTTGCCTTTTTCAGCTAAACTATTTAAGTTAGACGAAAAAGTCAAATTGCAATTTTTTAGCTTGTCTGATGGACCACAAAAAAGTTTTAGGCGAATTTTTTGTATCGTCAATATTCTTAAAGTTACAGGCGTATAAAGTCATCATTTTTGTATTATTAACTTTAAATTTAAAGCTCTGTAAAAAATCAAATATTGAAAATAGAAATTCAGCTTAATAAGATTTTTTTGTCCAAATTTAATGCTTTGTAAGAATTAGTCATGGATTTTATGAAAAAAAAATTCTTCCTAGGTTGCAAGAATAAATAAGATAAAAAAGTCAGTTTTCTGTGTTATTTAAGCGGCAAAACTTCAGATTCGATGGAGGACCTCTTAAAATTGAAATTATGAGCTCCGCTTTTAACATAATATTTGTTCAGACATATTCTACGATATTTTGGGTTGAGAGCAAGAAAAAAAAATATCGAGGTTTTTTGGCACACCCTAATATATATATCTGAATGTTATATTAAGTTAAGTTTCTAAAAGCAAATAAATAGGTATTTTATTTATAAAAATAAAATACTTTTGTGGCCTGATTGACTCATATTCCCAGACTGTTTTGACTGTCCCAATCTGCCCCTGGTTTAAAATGACATTATTATTATTATTATTATCAACTTCCTACATCTAGGTAGGTTAAGGGGCCCTCACACATTAAATAATATTGTCAATATTTGATGATATTGACAATTATATTGATCATGAGAGGCAAACTATTGAAGCAGTGGCCATGTAAAGTCTACCTATGTATTGTCAATACTGTCAATAAAAATATTCACAATATTATTGATCATGACATTGTGTGAACCCCTTTATGTACTTACGTCGACTTCTTTATCCAACGATTGGGCCAATGCTGGTCCCAATTTTTTTATAGCAACAATCCACATGATGGCAAGGGAAAGTCCAGAGTAGTATTCATGTTCAAGTACATAGATTTCCTTGCTGACCAGGTAGGTGGAAAGGGTAAAAGCCAAGGTGTAAGGGCCAGTGACACCAGTTTTTTTGTAGAAGAATTGGAACCATTCCTCAGGAATAAAGCCCATACGAACTTTGCCAGGCTCTTGTCTGACCTAAAATACAGATTTTATAGGTTATAACCATGATACATCATGGGTTATAACTATTTGCGATTCAAAGTGTTCTTTAAAACAATTGAAACTGTAAGTTTCAATTGTTTTAAATTATTTAAACTGTAGTGATGTAAGGTATTAATTTGACTACTTACAGGTCTTAGGGCCTTATTGTCGGGGGAATTTTGAGCCGCTGTGGTGGCAAGTGCCCTGGAGCTTAGAGCAACAAGGCTTTTGGAGGTTTGTCCTAAAACAATTAAAAATATTAAATCTATTACATAAACGATTTGTAGGTTAAAAAAAATGAAGATTTACGCTGTCTAGATTTAGGGTTTAAGTACGCTTTTTGTGCTTATTTACCTGATAAAAAAGCAGCTCTGGACAGCATTTTTGCGTAAATTTGTAGCTATTTAATGAAAAAATATCTGCCCTGCTCAGTCTTTAGAACTCGATAAAAAACAGACAGAAAAGAGAGTAAGAGAGAAACAACTATGTTATGTAATCATAGCCAACTCGAGTAAAAGTAAAGTCACTGGATTTGGCGGCAGATTTAAATAAAAAAGTATACAAAAAGTAAAAAAAAATCGATAAAGAAAAAAATGTTTATTTTAGACGGTAAATACAATACAAAAACTAATTTAAAAACCTTTAAAAGAATTATTTAATGACATATTTCTTCTATTTAAATCTTGCATTTTATTAATTTGTTCCAAATGTGTTGAAATTTGTGCTGTGTTAGTGTCAATCCATTGCAAAGAATTCATATGGGCATTTAATATGCGACTGATTTGTGTAATCTAAAAAAAATATTTAATATTTATTGTAAAACATGTTTTTTAATATTTCTTACAGGGTTTGATGTTTCTTCATCTTTGTGGGACTCATTTATATGTTCTATGATTTCTTTTAAGTCATCTGACATTTGTTTTAGCTGTGAATCTATCATTTCTGACATTTGGTACCTAAAAAATAATATTAAAAAAAAATTATATTAAATTAACATCTTACATTTGATTGCGGTCAATATCTGTAACAGGTATATCCATTAAATCCTTTTCCAAGGGAGCAATTAACTCTTCCAACTCTTTTTGTTGTGCCAAAACAAAATCCAACTCTTGATTCAGCTGAGTTTGTTGCTGTTTAACTCTTTCAATGCTTCCATTTAAATTCAAAATTTTCTCACCATTTGAAATCAATAGGGAATCCCAAGCATTTAATTGTTTAGCTTGATTGATGAAAAATTTACCTTGTTCTTCTAAATCAATTGTCCATTTGTTAATAGAATCTTCCAGCTGGCCAAATGTGAGAGATCCTGCTGGGGCACTAGTTGCAGCTGCAGCTGATATGGAAACAGCAGTTCTAAAATATAATGTTTTATTAGTCCAGAAAACAGGCTTTTGTAGTGCAAGCAATAAAAAAATTTCATAATAAACGTGCAATATAAATTATATTATTATATATATTATATAATATAATATGTTTTATTATAACAAACTTTTCCATTATATATTTATTAAGATAACGCATTTTCATTTGAAATATATACACTCGAGTGAACCCGATCGCCCCTCTTCATTGTCATATTTTGCATTTGCTAGTGTGTATTTCAAACGTAAAATAAATAATAAATAAAATCAATTTCTTTTATTTATAGTTCAGGCCTTCTAGTCCGGTCAATTTAGACATTTGAAATGACAGAAACTCCGGAAAGCTGAAATTTCGTAGAGAATCATGAGAAAGGAAGTTTTAAAAGTCCCCATTAATCCCATGTGCGCTACAAAAGTTATTCGGGGTCAAAGGTCAAAATTTGAGGTTTTTTGGAATATTTTTCGAAAACGGTAAGTTTTATCGAAGAAGTACCTACTTCGAGATATTAAAATTATCTACAAAATGGTCCTTATGATTTTTTTTCTAAGAGTCACCATTTCTGAGATATCGCGATTGTAAGATTCACGTTATACATGATATGCACCCATTTCCATGCCACCTGTGAGGTAGTATACTCGAAGCGTTTTTTTAACATGGTTTCCCCAGTAGGCCTACTTCACGAACTATTATAATGTAATTTTCAGGGACAATACTTTTTTAAATGAATAATGAATATTGATATTGGATATTGACTTTAATTGTAGTTTTGATTTTTTTTGATATTTTAATCTGATTCATACTCTTCAACGTCTACTTCAACAGTCATGTCTTGGTCGATTTCTTCTTCTTCTTCCCCTTCCTCTTGCTGGATGTTCATCAAAATCACATGAACCATCCTCTGTCGTGTTTAATTGGACATTTAAGCAAGACTGACATCGGCAATTGGTACATGCTGGAGGACACAGTAATCCTACTTCTTTGCACCCACATCTTCCACTGCAACTTTATTTGCAATTGCAAAAAATAGAATTAAGGATTTTTTCTGGAGCGGGTGGCAGTAAACATTGAATCGGTTCCAAAGTATTATCTATGATTTTCCAACCCCAGTTTTCTGGGTTAAGTTGATTGCCTAGCCATGTCTGAACTTGATAGAATTCTCGATACAAGTGTTAAATATCGGTATTTATCTAGAGTCTAGATTCTAGACATTCCATTTTTTTTAAGCTCCATAAACAGCAAGGAGAAAGCGAATTTCTGCTGTGATTATTGTTTGAGGAGAAGAATCACTTTCTTTAAATACTTTTGCGCAGTCAATCAAATCTTTTTTTTTTCGAACAATTTTACTACTGAAGAATTGCCCCTTCTATACATTGCTGATGTAGAATCGCAGCCGGTTATTGCATGTAAAAATAAAATATGCTTTTGGCATTTTGGATAAACAGATAAACTTTGTGAAGAATATATTTCTGTTCGCCGTTGAGGTTTTCCAGGTTTCAGAAAGTAAATAATTAGATTAATAGGAGTCTTTGCAGTGAGTAGTATTAACAAATCAACATCTTCATCAACTACAATTGAATGCCCGGAAAGCAGAACCGATGCAGCGCGCGGCCAGTAGGCAAAAGAGGGGATGATCGCGATGCACTGCATGGAGACCGTTGAATTTCAACAAAATTCTTTAAATTAAACTCGCGATAACTCTTTAACTAAACGTGCGATTTTTATGAAATTTGGACAGAATACTCAGATTGGTACAGCGATGCTATTAAAATAAAATCGCTGTACCAATCCGAGTATTCTATCCAAATTTCATAAAAATCGCACGTTTAGTTAAAGAGTTATCTCGAGTTTAATTTAAAGAATTATGTTGAAATTCAACTGTCTCCATGCAGAGCATCGCGTTCATCCCCTCTCTTGCCTACTGGACACGCGCTGCGTCGGTTCTGCTTTCCGGGCATTCAATTGTTGTGTTTGTTGCATTATATTTTTATATTGCTGTTTCAATTATAAGGACGTCTGCATTATTTTGAGCATGTTTCACTGCAATATTTGCAATTGTCAATTTGTTACTTAACATGGAAATAAAACGAGGTTTATTATTAATGTTAATTATCATGGATTCACCAAAGATAATGTCGGAACCCGAAGATGTTTTTGTAGTTCGACGACGTTGTTCTGCAGCTTTAATGTTTTTTGTCGGGTCACTATAGCCATCAAATACTACGGTCACTGTATGACCATGACCATAATGCTAACGTACATACTGAATATATTTTTCAAAAATAACGCTTAATGTTTCTTCTCGATCCCACACAACGATATGTAGTAGATATCCTTCGTCGATGTTAGTAGCGTTTGTACGATTAAAAGCAATAGTGACAAGGAGGACAGCTAGGACAACTTCAAAGGTATGTACAGTGCTGCCAGATGAACGGATTTATCCGTTTTTTACGGATTTTCCAGGTCTAGAGAAATTGGAAACGGATTTTGAACGGATTTTCATCAAATACGGATTTTTACGGATTTTTAAGATAGCTTCATACTAATACTAAAAAAACATCATTTTTGCCCCGTTTTTTGATCATCTTTGTCACGCTTCTATTCCTCTTCCTTTTTACTACGTTAGACAGAAAAAGAAAGCGGATTGAAAAAGGATGTGTTCTTAATATAGGGTTCTTAAACGCCGAATATATGCGAAACATATGCTTTTTCATTGAGTGTGACAAAGAGAACGATAGTTTCATATCATTTGTTAAGGTTTTATAACACGTTGTTATTGCTGCCAATATATAAGCGGCGCAATGCCACCAATAGTAACGACTAACCAATACTGACTCCAGTTCAGTGCATTGAACTGCATTGTGGCAATAGTTTGATCTCAAAGTCAATGTTTATTATATATCCGAATCTGTATATAAAATACTTTATTTTGTGAAAAATGGAAAGTGACGAGAATTATATCACTGACGAAGAGGTTCAAACTTCTGAAACTCCCCCGAAAAATTCTGAGATGTTTCGGATTTTCTTTGACGAAAGGTATGTTTTGTCACGAAAATCCCCCTTATAGAAGAAATTTTTCGAAATTTAGACAAAAACGGATTTTTACGGATTTTTCGAGGCTTCCCCCCACCCTTTCCACGAATATATACGGATTATCCGACCATCTGCTCTGGCAGCACTGGGTATGTATCAACTCGTAATTGAATTTTTATGTTTTTTCCGTTGTCTGTGAGTCTGTGAGCATGCCTGTGTATCGATGTTTTTCGAACCACCGTAGCTCGGAGGCCGTTAAACATGGACACTCGAAATTTGCATCCTTTTTATGTGCCCACGAGACCTATCCGCGGACCAAATTTTTCCGGTGTCAAAAAGGCCCAAGTCCACTTTTTTCGATTTTTCCGTAAAATTTGCCCGTTCCGTTGAAATCGCTTAACTTTCGAACGAGCGGAGATTTTTCGGCCAAACTCGAGAGTGCTTCGGCACGATAATTCGTTTCGTATTGCGAACGGACCGGATCCGCCCGAATATTTTTGAGTTACGAATTTAAAATATTTTTTTTAACGTTTTTCAAACTTTTTGTGGGGGACTGGCTGTCTTTTGAGTGTATAATTTCAGAATTGTATAGTTTATACGAGTATAGTATACATAAGAGACACAAATAGGCATTTTTACTTGTATTAAGTGCCTGACAATGTACATACATACGTGGCATATATGTGCATATAATGTATAACGTGACTCTTACAATCGCGATATCTCAGAAATGGTGACTCTTAGAAAAAAATCATAGTCTGAAACTTCCCGTTTTGGAAAAAAATCCAAAAAACCTAAAATTTTGACCTTTGACCCCGAATAACTTTGGTGAACCCAAGCTCTCCACGAAATTTCATCTTTTCAGGAGTTTTTTTTATTTGACCACTATTTTTATGTATAGATTGACCGGATTGACCTGTACACATTGCAAGAGAAGATTGACATGATAAGCTGGTCTTTAGTAGGCATTTCTCTACGTCAAACAAGAGACCTTTTCGGATCGTTCTATTCCGTCAATTAGAACAATAAAAAACGTTTTGAATTAATTTATTTTTTTATTTTAGTTTTTAAAACGTTTTTTTATCAGAAAACACTTTTAATTTAATGCAAAACAAATAATGATTTTACACCTTTAATTAATAATTTACTGTTAAAAGTGATTTCGTTACATTTTAAGTATCTGAATCATTTTAAAAGTAAATTTACTTAATAATGCGTAATTCGTATTAATAATTCCAAGCAAACTTTGACTATCACCCATCGCTGGTAAAGGGTCTACTACTGAATTACAAAACCGTCTCTTGGGCCAAAAGTCTGTGTCTCCCACTCTTAAAAATTATTCTTCCACTCTTAAAAACAAAATGTCTACAGGAAAAATAAAAATACTATCTTAATTAATATATAAAGGGAAAGTTTGTTTGTTTGTATGGCCTCCTGGTAATTTTTTTTAATTTAATAAAAATATCAAATCTGCCAAACTGACTAAGAATATTCTAGAATAATCTAATTTTTGTGTTTGTAATTTTTTCTTAAAACCACAGAAGCAGGGTATATGGCTAGGAAAATTTCACTTTTTGCTTGTACTTGAAATTTCACTCGAAATTTTCATGACATTTATGAAATTTATTAAAATTTCCTAAATTTCTGAAATTTCATGAAATTTGTTGAAATTTATTGAAACTTTCAATAAATTTCAATCCCTTTAAGTGTAATATATTAATATTGAAATAAGCCCACTCAGGGACCATGGCAAATTGCCTCTCTTACCTCCTACCCCTCTGTGGGCCTCTGCACCAATAATACCTATGTTTACTACAAATTTCTTGAGATTTCCTTTTAAAATATTTTTAAAATTACTAAAACTAAAAGAGATATAGGACTTTTTGGTAAGCTAATGAGATTGTGCCACTTTCATTGTTTTATATTTATATATATTTATTATTTTTAAATATTTTACTGAAATTTTACGAAAATTGAAGAAACTTCATCAAAATTTTGTGAGCCAAAGGCATTTTTATCCGTTTTCCGATGCAATTATAGCAAAAGTAAAAGTTTAAATTAATCATGACTTTAAAAAAAAATTTAATTTACAAATTAAATTGGTAACTGAATTAAATTATTTAAATTAATTTTTGCATATCAATAATCCAAGCCGAACTAAACAAAAACGCCCAGACGCTTGATAACTCGTTCTTATTGGTCGATTCGGAATCTGTTGTAAATTATTATTAAAGGAAATCCATGACCAAATAATAAGAATTTATAACTTCTGCCTGCATAATAGTTATTTTCCGGAAGAATGGAAGAAAGGAAGAATAATTACCATTACTAAACCGAACTTGGATCACACTGTCCCAGGCAACTACCGGCCCATCAAGGTGATTGCCAGTTGTCAGAAAAACTTTTGAAAAAATAATTAAAAATAGATTAGAACAGGCCATTGGACATAAAATCCCAATATACCAATTTGGATTCAAGAGACAAACTTCTACTACTACTACCACTACTCACCCAAATGTACAACAGAAGAGTATAGAGGGCAATAAATCAACTGCGCTGTTTATGGATATTTGTAAAGCCTTCGATTCCGTATAGCACAATGGGTTGCTGAAAAAATTGGTGAAATTGGAAAGCCCGAATTATTTGGTATGGATAATAAAAGAATTTCTCACACAAAGGAAAATACAAGTAAAAATTGGCAATACACTATCCCCCACCTTTTCACCAGAACAAGGAGTGCCACAAGGCTCACCATTATCACCGTTCTTGTATAATTTATTTTGTTATAACATGTACAATTTGGACCACTTAAACATAAACAGACAGAGCTATATTCTCCAATATGCTGACGACACAGTTTTGATAACGCATGGAAAAACGACAACAGAAGCAAGTGTGAAACTACAAGAACTAACCAATCAGGTATCGTCATGGATGTCTAAATGGAGAATCCTACCAAGTCCGTCAAAATCACGCCTACTACTGTTCCATCACAAAATAAAAGAAAATTCGCCCACAATAAATATTATGCAAAGTACAGTAGAACCATCAACATCATGTCGTTACCTGGGAATTTTGATAGACACCAAGTTAAACTTCAAACAACACACAAGCCACACCAAGACATGTATTATAAACAGGGCCAAGCACTTTAGAAGCTTAACTTATAAAGACCAGGGAATAAATATTGCTGTGGCAACCAACATTTATAAACTAATCTGTCGCCCAGTGCTGGAATATGGATCTGTTCTTTTTATAAATTGCAGAAAACCCACCCTAACAAACATAGAGATAGGCGAGCGCACAAGCATAAGGAAAATTACAAAAATCAGACATCCTCAAAATTCCTTATTTAACTCATCCAATGAAGCCCTTTACCATATCACTGGAATACAACCCATACAAGAAAGATTGGAATACCTAGCGAAAAAATTTGCCAACAAACCCGAAAACCTTAATGTGATGGAACCTTTGATTCTTAAAACACAACTCGAGACAACACCAAGGAGAAAATACCCAGAGAAATCGTTGTATGACTCACTCAGGGAATTGACAGAAGATTAAGGAAGATATTAACAATATATTTAATTATAACATTTAGTAGTACAGTACATAAATTAAAATATAGTATTTGTTATATACAAAATTGTAATTGGGCAGGAAGACGAAAGTCGTTAGCCATTTGGATTTCCAATAAAGTTTATTATTATTATTATTAAAGGTCCCAGGGGAAGCCGCATGTGAAATTTATGCGAAATTTTCAGTAAATTGCGAAACTTTCAATGAAATTTCTGAAATTTACAGGCAATGTTGAAATTTTTGGATTGAAAATTTCATTTGAAATTTTTAAAAATTTCACTTTTCCAACTAAATAAAATATTTCAAGTTTGAAACTTTCAAATTTTCATGTGAAAATTTTCACTGTCCCAACCCTACATACAGCTAGTTAAAAATATTTTGTTTAAACAAAGTAGTTTTGGAGTTATATTAAAAACAAATTGTTACCCTGCAGTGGATGTAGTGCCCCCTAGTGTTAGGCTAGGTGCTGCTGAAGTTGTTGTAGCCAAACTGGAAAACTTAGGGGATGTAGTGCTCTGTGCAGACCCAGTAAACAACAAACCAACTAAAACAACAACAGACATAATTTTAGTTTTCCACAATATTTTAATTTTATAGGTACCTGTACTTGGAGCCGAACTCCCTACAATTGGTGTGAAAGTTGTAGACAATGTAGCTGTACTGGCACCTATATCAAAAGCCGGCGGAGCCTCACTAGTACCTAAAAACACAACATTAAAACCCCCAAACATAACCTAAAACCCAGTGATGTAATGTATCAAGATACATTTATCTAGATACTGGATCTAGATAAATTTTATGTACCTAGATACGTATCGAGATACTTAAGAAAATCAGGATCTACTTTAGTATCTAGATCCTTTTGAAAGTATCTAGATCCTTAGATACAAGATACATTTTATTTTACCCAACCTGATTGCAACTCCACACCGTGTGGGCCACACGGAAAATGAACATCTAATGGATATACTCTATGGATATCCAGGATATATACCTACATTGGATATTTTTGATATCTCCCGTAAGAGATGAACAATACGAAAACCGTAGTGCTGTGTATAGACTCCCGTACCCTAATCTATAAACTGAACTTCTGTTTTCGTATTGTTCATCTTTTACGGGAGGAAGGCAATCTATAAATCCGGCTTAACGCTTTTTCCCACCATCTATGGATTTACAGGAAAAAGCATCTGGCAACGCTGTACCGAACCCAGAGACCTAACGATAATTTTGAATTTGTACTACAAATTTTGTAGTAAGCTTTCTATTATATAGCCGTAAATATAAAATTTATTTCCGTTTTTCATGGATATTTCGTCAATTTTATCAAAACAGTTTTATTTTATAGTTAACACGCTTGTTTATAAGGTCCAAAAAGTTTTTTTAACATAGTATCTGGAAGTAACTTAGATACTTTTTGAATGTATCTGTATCTGTACCCAGATACTTTTGGGAAAATGTATCGGTATCTGTACCCAGATACATCTACTAGAGAGTATCTGTATCGGTACCTAGATACTGAAAAAAATTTATCGGTTACATCACAGTAAAACCTCCAAAATATACCTGTTGTTGATGTGGCAGTTGTAGCCCCAAAACTAGGCAAAACCACTCCGGGAGCTGTAGTTTTAGCTGCGGGGGCTGCGAATAAAGTGACCCCGGGTTTACTTTGAGAGGTTTTGTTATCCCCCGCCCCGATATTCAGCTGGAAGCCGCCGGCTGAAGCTGCAAACGAAATGTTGGGTTATGTTTATTTATATTTTGGTTATTTACAAACTTGTGGCTGTAGTCGACGTGGGCAAGGTAAAACCTGTCGCTGTTTTTGGCGTACTGGTGCTGTTGCCGAACGAAAACATGTTTTTTTTTTATTAAATTGTTAAAATTGTTGACAGTTTGAAATTTTGACAGACGTTTCGTTGGTAAGTCTTCTTCTTCTTGTTTTGCGATAAGCAGAGGTAAAGAAGGTTTGCGAGGAGGATAGATAAAAGGTTTGTTTTCACATTGGTTTGAAACTTGTTTGTGACGTTTGGAGTGTGCGCATAAGGTTTTTTGTGTTCGCACATTGGTTTGCAACTGATTTCAAACCACTAGTCGGTTGTTTCCACATCGTTTCCTGACAGTTTGTCGACAGCAGTGATGCCAACTCGTGGGAAATTTCCCATTTTGAGGGAAATTTTACCTCAAATTGAAACAAATGGGAAAAAGGGAGATATTTTTAAAAAAGGCCGTCCATGAGGGAAATTTATATCAATTCAAAATGAAAATTTATAATTAACCCTTTCCTACTTTTTCTAATCAAATATTTCGGATTTTTTAAAATTTTATTATTTTTTTTCGTATTTTATACAAAAATATATATAACTCTATAACTTTTAATGTACATACCTAATAAAACTTTTTTTGGAATTACATAATAAAAATATGTATTCTTTTAAAGAACAAAATAATAGGCCGTATTTATAAAAGAAAGGATAAGCTTATACTTGCAAAATATAAACAAAATCCTTCAGCCTTTATATACATATAATCATTAATACAAGCTAAAGGATTTCCTTAATATTTTACAAATATAAGCATAAGGATATATCCTTTTTTATCAATATGGCAAATTGTTTTATATTTTTATTTTACATGTATTTATGTATTTATACACGTTGTTTTTTATATAATAATAAATACTGAAGAGTAACATTACTAAATTTCGCTTGCTGTCTTTTTTTCAAAATATCTCTTATATTTAAAAAAACGGGTAACGCCATAGGTATATTTCAAAAAGCGTGGGAAAAAAGGGAATTTTTGAACATTTTCAAGGGAACTTTGCTGCAAAAGGGTTGGCAACACTCGACTCGACAGTCCAAATCATAGACAGTGTTGCCAACACGTAGGGAAATTCCCTATTCGTAGGGAAAAATATGATTATTTTTTTAGGTGTAGGGAAAAAGGACAGAAATTATTTTTGTAGGGAAATTTTTTTTCCATTAAAATTGGCCTTTTCTAAGAAATTTTATAAAAAAAATTATTAATAGATGTACTTATTATGAGGTTGAAAGGGCTGCATAATAGACTCGATCTATCCTTTGGCATCTACGTAACAGATGTCGCTTTTTTATTAAACATCTAACCAACCACAGAACATAAGTAACCAACCTAACCTAGAATGTTTCTAGAATATATATTTATTGATTTTGACTTTTAACGCACAAAAAATTCATATAATATTCATTTATTTTTGCATAAGAGTTATGTTTCTTTTTCTTGTTTTTAAATTTTTTTTGTTTTTAAATTATTTTTATGAAATAAAAGTGGTTTAATAAAGTTTTTTTGGGACATTCATTAAATTATTATTATTTTTAAATGGTAGGGAAAATTAAAGGGAATTTTTTTTATTGGTAGGGGAAAAAAGGGAATTTTTATTGGGTTGGTAGGTACTATCTATACAAAATGTTGGCAACACTGATCATAGATAACAAAGCCTTTGGTCCGAATAAGGCTTTGTTATCTATGGTCCGAACAGTTTGAGGATTATCTTCCAGCAGATTGTTGGCACATGCGCATAATACAAATTAATAGCCTTGATTTACAACTTTAGTTGTGTGTTTGTTTTGAGGTTATTGTAAAAAGTATTATAAAAATGTATTCTTCTGATTAATCTGAATATCCAATGTCATCAGAAACTGACGATTTCGATTTGGACATTCTTTTAGAAGAAAGAATAAGACCAAAAAACGTGAGATTTTTTGAAGAAATTGTGCCCCAGTTCAATGAAAGTGAATACATGTTTATTAAAATTTATTTATTATGCTATGCAACCAATTATACATTTAGTGCACTGTTTTCACATCAATCAGAAACAAGTTGCGGATTTATTTCCAACGTGACATGCGCACAAGAATGGTTTGAAAGTTATAAGAAACATGTTTGTGATTTGATGTGGAAACAAGTGTTGCCAGTAGAGTTGTTCTAGGCAGAATTGCCTGAGGATTTTGATACTTTAAAAAATATTTGGTACAAGTACTATACGCTAAATCCTAATTTATAAATGGCATTTCTTCCTTTCTCCCGAATTGGTATTTTTTGTAAAAAGTCAATTTATAGATTCCCATACCGCATTCCATAAGCATGCGCGTCAGTGTTACCAGATTCTGTCAAAAAAGGACCGTACGTTTTGTTCGAATTTACCATGGAGCCTACACAAGGAGCCCGAACTTAATAGGGAAAATTGACAAAACCTGTCCACTAAATTGCATAAATTAAGTCTTTTTTTTTCACCACCAGCGGCGCTGATTGTCGATGCTTCCGTATGACGTGAAAATAGTATCGAAAATACTTGTGAAGTAAGCAAGTAAGTTTTGACAATTGATTTGCAATAATGTTTTGACGTACGAATCGTTTAGTTATTTATGGCTGTACCTGGTAGGTAGATGCTTATGAATAGGTTTTGGTTGTGAAATATAAGTGATTCTTTATAATCTGTGAAGTGATTTTACGACTCTGGAGAAGGAAAATTAGATTTCCAGGTTAGAAATACACCGGTATTTAATAATTTCCACCTTTATTTGTTTATATTGAACTTTTATTTTTTATTTAAGCCATCTACCTATAAAACTAAAAATAAATACCATGGATTTAATATTCTGTTAGTTTTACACCACACGACATTCTTTTATAGAAAAAAACACGTATTTATAAAAAACTGTACTATGCTCTACATGTCCAACATGAATTCCAATGTTAATTTGATATAAATTTATTGTAAATTAAGACCTTTATACACAAAACCAGGTACATGGGTACATTGTTTTCTTCTTCTTCTTCTTCTTCTTCAAAATTTTTGGCCTTTAGCTAATTTAAAAGCTATTTGGCCAGCTCATGATGTTGATGTTAATCCAAATAATCTTGAAGGCCCCCAGTTAAGTGGATCTGGAACTATCCATACCTTCAAGAGGGAATTTTGCATTGGTTTAATAAACATAAGTGGTATAACTTTAGGATTTTGCTTTTAATTTTCTTCATATACGTTTTACGTTCAGTATTAGTACAGACATAATTTACAAACAAGGGATAAGACCCTTCACGCTCGGGAGCAACAGCCGAGCGACTTACACAACCTGAAATGTTGCCTCGGATGGGGAGCCTAGGATAGAATTTTATGGATAGGATTTATAACATACATTGTTTTCAGAAAGCGATAAACTGACAGTTGCATAACCTCAATTATTTGCACAAAAAGTGATAGGTAGTGGCGCCATCTCTGGTTATACCCCTCTACTGTTTTGGACCGGTAGTACACCAGCGCCCTCTTATCTTAGGAAGATTCTTGTTTACATGAAGTTCGGGCTCCTTGTGTAGGCTCCATGGAATTTACCTTAATTACAAAATGACACAATGAAACAATGCAAATAAATGCAATGTCAAGTTGACGTTATTTAATATTGTCCATTGAGTCATTTTTGTAATTAAGGTAAATTCGAACGAAACGTACGGTCTTTTTTTGACAGAATCTGGTAACACTGATTTCACGGTCTTATATACTCTTATATACTCTTATATACTTATATACAAGACCGTGATGATCACGGCGTGATCTATACTTATCCATGATTTTTTGACATTTCTTCTTCTTCTTCTTCTTAATTCTGAACACAATTCTGTGTTCAGAGGAATGACCTTTGTCAAGTTCGGTTGTATTATTCCGTCTAGGTTAAATTTAAAGTTGGGCGGTCGTACATTAATAATTTACGACACCAAAATGAGTATCGCCTTGGAAAACCTAATATAACGCAGTACAGTGCAGTGAAAGATGCCTTGAACCTCCAAAATTCAACGCCTGGGACTTAGATGTTCGTAAAATGACCCTAAACATGGGGGAACCGGGCTGCATAGAAGGGCTGCTGCCCTGCCTCTACCACCCCTCCCCCGAAGCCCAGCGCAGCGCCCAAATCGACAAGCAAATCGCCGGCGAGAAGGAGGACTTTCAAAAAACGCACCGGTTACTCCTACTTGGAGCAGGTGAGTCCGGAAAGTCCACCATAATAAAGCAAATGCAGCTGATACACGTGGAAAAATTCAGCGACGAAGTCAGAAAAGAACGCAGGAACGATATCAGGCACAATCTATTGGATGCCATAGTTGTAAGTTTAAATACACAATCCTGTTTAATTGTTTCACTGTTTGTTTTTTTAGAGTATTATTACAGCAATTTCAACGTTAACACCGCCAATACTTTTAGAACATTCGGAAAATACCAAAAGCATAGACTGGATACTGCACAACTCTGCAAGAGAAAATTTTGACTTTCCACAGGAATTCTATGACCATGTTGAAATTCTGTGGAAGGATAAGGGCATACAAGTAATTATACTATTTATACATATTTTCAAATTTAAACTGTTATTCTTTTTATATTTTATTACCAAAAAAGAACTTAAAACATCTTATTGATAATAACTTAATTATAATTATTTATAGTTTTGATTTTTTGACATGGACTCAAAAAAACTAAAATAAAAATGCTAGGTATTTTTGCAATATTGCATATGTTTTGTAGATTATTATAGTTTTCTTAATTTTTTTATAGAAAAATTAATTTTTTTATGATTTTTTGAGGTTATTTTCTAAAATTATCATTTTTAATATGAAAAAAAACCAAAATGTCCATTTTTTTCCTAATTTTTATTTAATACCACCCTCGGTGGTGTAGTAGTTAGCACTGCAGACAGTCTGCAGACTACAAGCTGAAAGGTTGTTGGTTTGAATCCCACCAGGCTGTTTATTTGTATGAGTCAGTGTACTCCTGTAATTGGGCCTGGTGCCTGTTGGAAGCATATTAAAATAAATTAAAAATTACTTTTTTGAATGATTATTTTTTAAAATTTAGATTTAGGTATTTTTTCTTTTATGTTTTAATAAGTACTTCTAATATGTAAAAAATTAAATGCTATTTTTGCAGATTATTGCAATTTAAAGCCATTTTTTATTTTTTCCTTATTTTTTTTATAAATTGGCATCTTTCCGTTACTCGGCAATTTTTCTCGCTACCGGAGTTAAATTAAATATTATTGCAAACATGTTTACGGCAAAAATTGCCGAGTAACTTGGAGTTGCTCAAATATTAATTAGAAATGGAACGAACGTCCGGTTGAGGTACGGTTTGGTCAGATTTTTGGCCAAATCTAGCCGGATTTTCGTTTAATAAAGCAATATATTTATTTGGAATAAATTAATAAAATAAAATACAAGTGGGTAGTTTGTTATTATAATCTGTTTTATTAAGCCAAAATTAGAAGAAATAAAATACAATAAACAAGTTTGGTGAATACCTGCTCTTTGCTTGCTTGGTGATGGTACCATAATCATCAATTAGCGGATTGTTCTTGGCGGTTTTTGTTTTACGTGTTTTGTCATATTTTTATAACTTGTCATAAAAAAAATAATTTTTTGTGGCTTTTTGGCAAACTTTTTCTGAAATTGGTACAAAAACTGTTAAAAACTTAAAGCTTAAAGGCAATAGTATTCTTTTTTTTTGTAAAAGGAAATTTATTTTAAATATTGGGAAAATGATTTAACTTCAAAGTTAGGCCGGACGTCTGGAGTCCAGTCCGGTAGCTTGGCCGGATGTTCGGTGTCGGGTAGTCCGTTCCATCTCTAATGATAATAATAATCTTAAGACAATTTATTTATAAGAACTTAAAACCTTTAATTTATAATACCAAAGTTTTAATGATTTGAAGTTTTGATTTTTTGACACAAACTGTAATAAGATACCTGTCATACATGTCCTTACTTTGGCAAATACTATAGTGATGCCAGATATTTAAACTTTGCCTAGTAGGTAACCAAAATAATTGACAACAGTTGTTAATGATAACAGTTTTAATTTGTTGTTACCACAGACCTATAAACAAAATGGACTGGCCGTTCCCATTCAAAATACACAATGTTTTGTTGCCAAGAACGATTTAGATTAGGGGTAAAGGAGTAAGGGGAGGGGTGTTTATAAACAAGTTCCCACACCAGTGGTGTTCTGTTTTTGGGATCATAATATAAATAAAAATATTAAAAATAAATAAGAACATTAAATTGTACATTTTTTTTGTGTTTTTCAATCCTATGTAAACATTATATTTAATATATATAAATATATAGGTATAACAAAATACTAACCTTGTCCAGATGATAGAATCTGTCTCTTTAAATCTAAAATTTAAGTGAATTCATTTATTTATTTATTTAGTTTCTACGCCCCTGGCAGGGTTTGTTTTGTAAATAAACTAACCTATGAAAAGAAAGTTTTAAATTCTTGGATCCAAGTCTTTTACAAACGTAGCACTGCTTCACCATTTTTATATCACTCACTATTGGTATTTTTCACTATAAAAGCAAATAAAGTCAGATGTGACAACTGAGGGAAAATATTTTTTTTTTTAGTTTCTTTAAGAAACTTTCTTGGACCCATCACTGGGAATATTCCCAGTGATGGGTCCAAGAAAGTTTCTTAAAGAAACTAAGAAAATTGAATGTTTATCTTAAAGTTTAGCCCGGTTGGGTTAATTCTAGATTCCTTTAGGCCATATTAGTATCTGTGATACAATTGCTGTGTGCAGTCCCGGTTGCATAGTATGTACCGATTGCGGCAAAGGCCACGTCGTTTGACGGTGTGGATCACCTGATGTTCTTACATCTCGCCTCTGTTGACTTAACAACTGAGCATATAGGCTCAGGGAGTAATTTGTTTTGATTGTGTTCCACTACACCAAGTTGCCCGACACTGATGAGACCCAATAAAGGTCGCAACAGCTGTCTGTCGGTATTTGAAGTTGGTGGAATGCATTCAAAACAAAAAACTTTGGCGAGGTGTAGGTTCAATTTTTCTTATTTATTTTTGTTCCTTTCCACTCTTTTCAATGTAAATAAACCGGTCCATTTGTTTGTTGGTCTGTGGTTGTTACCTTATTTTTGTAGTTGATTTTTGTGTGTTAATTTAACTATTTTAGACTGCTTTTTCAAGAAGCAATGAATATCAGTTGATAGATAGTGCTCAGTATTTTTTGGAAAAAGTGCAAGAGGTCAGAAAACCTGAGTATTTACCAAGCGAACAGGATATTCTAAGGTGTAGAATTCTTACCAAAGGCATATATGAACTTATTTTCCAAGTCAAAAAAGTAAAATTTCAGTAAGTATTTTTTAGCTATATAATATTTTTGGCATGGAGCCTACAAAAGGAGTCCGAACTTCATGTATACAAAAATCTTCCTAAGATCAGAGGGCGCTGGTGTTCTGTTGATTGTTTGATTTGTGCCAAAACGCAAAACAACAGGCGTCAGTACGCATCCACAATCAGCGCCGCTGGTGGTAAAAATCAAGAACTAATTTGTGCAATTTAGTGGACAGGTTTTGTCAATTTTCCCTATTAAGTTCAGACTGCTTGTGTAGGCTCCATGATTTTTAGTTTGTGTTTTTATTTGACTCATTTTATTAAGTTTGTATACAAAATTAATAAAGTATGACTGTATATATAGTCACTATAGTCAATGTAGTCATAATAATACTAGTGGTAATTTTTAATTAAAATTTCTAAAATTGTGACAGAAATTATATATTATATATATGGTGTATTATAAGCCACTTTTGACCTCAACCCCTTTTGATTTGATCTTTTTTAATTTTTTTACTGAATTGCTGAAAAATTACGAATTTTTCAAAAAATCGTCATTACTTCAGTTTTTAACGTTTTCAGGATGATAGATGTGGGGGGTCAAAGGGGGGAGCGCCGCAAGTGGTTTTTGTGCTTTAACGGCGTAACAGCCATAATTTTTGTAACAGCATGTTCCTCATACGATTCCGTGCTACGTGAAGACCCGACAAAAAACCGATTGGTCGAAAGTCTGGAAATATTTCGCACCGTTTGGAACAACAAATTTTTGAAGAACATTTCTGTTATATTGTTTCTTAATAAGCAAGATATTTTTAAGAGGAAAATAATGGCTGGTAAGATTTATAAAATAAAACCTTTATTTACGATTTTTTACTGTATTTTTTTAGGAAGAAGTAAATTAGAAGAGTTTTTCGAGGACTATCGATATTATCAAGTCCCGCCAAATTCCGAGTTTGCAAATGAGTACCAGGAGGTTGTAAGAGCAAAATTTTTTATCCGAAATCTCTTCCAGGTAAAAATACCCTGAAAGATACCAAATTAACTTTTTTATAAAATATAATAATTTGTCATAGTTCTTTCAAACTTTTTCCACAAAATATTTTTACATCCAAAAAAATAGTTTTTGTGAAAAATATGAGTTTTTATTTAAATTTTAATATTTTTTTTTAGAAAATTAGCTTCAGCTCCGGCAAAAGCAAAGAACAAAAGTACCACTGCTGCTATCCGCATTTTACATGTGCCATAGACACTGATAACATAAAAAAAGTTTTCGAAGATTGCCGCGACAGTATTCAACGTAGGTACCTCACAGAATCAGATCTGCTTTAATAGAATACTACTTTACTACATTTAAATACTTTTAGAAGATTTCATAGACCATAACTTTGTATAGCTAGTTATAAACATATATGCCATTAACGTGGCAACCTTGCCCAGTAAAAACAGCAACAAAGCAACAATATCAAAAATAATCACAATTCATATTATGCTTTTACATGCTCAATAATTAATGTATTATAACATCCTATTTTCAATTTTATTTAATTTTCCATACAAATATTTTGTGATAATGAACTATCTTCCCCTCTATTTTTAGATGAATTTTCGTTTATAAATACGTGCCTTTGATGTTTCGCAAAAAAAAAATTTGTGTGCCTTAATGATTTTGAGCACAAAAGTTTTTTCTTTTAATCTCTATTTTGTAGTATTAACAATGCTTGCATTTCAATATTTTTTGAAAAACATTTAAAATTTATACAGGGTATGTACAAATGTGGAAAAAAATTTTTAGTTGCTTTGGGACCATGATTAAACCAAACCTTATTTTTTTCCAACTGGCAACAGTATAGAAAATATTGTCTTTTTTCAACCTTTTCTTCTAATCTTTAATATTTTTGTTTACTATATTTCATGTTTAATAAATACTAACAAAAATTTGTATTATTTTTGTCCTAAATCCTACCCTGTAGTATTATTTTCAAACATAAATTTGCCAATTTTGTAGTGTTTTTGATTAATTAATCAAAAAAGGATTTTCTTGCCAAAAACATCTACCTACATCAGCAATTTCATAAATTTCGCCAAATAATATAGGTAATGTGAATGAGACAAAAATAAAATTGAATAAAATATACCAATATATATATATTTGCTAATATATTATTTTACGTGTATTACAAATATTGACAAAAAGCGAAAAAGTAAAATTTCACTAATCGTTTAAAATCCAAGTTGGCGGGGAAGAAAACCGAATAGTTTTCTTGTTGGCGGGTATTGCTACCCTATAGCGCAACTCAAATTACAGCCAGTGGCTGTCTAGGCGCTGTTGCCGATGCTAAAGTAAAAACCGCAAATTTTGGGGAAAAAACAAAAAAGGAATAAATCGTAAAAATAATAAAAGTAATCTGGGCATTTACTAAATAAAGTAGAAAATACATAAAATTTAAATCAATCTATGGTTTAAGGTAGTGATGAGCAAGTTATTTTTCAAACAGTGCACTGAATCGTTACTTTGATTTTTTAATTCTAATCTTTAATATTTTTGTTTACTATATTTTATGTTAAATAAATACTAACAAAAATTTGTATTATTTTTGTCCTAAATCCTACCCTGTAGTATTATTTTCAAACATAAATTTGCCAATTTTGTAGTGTTTTTGATTAATTAATCAAAAAAAGATTTTCTTGCAAAAAAACATCTACCTACATCAGCAATTTCATAAATTTCGCCAAATAATATAGGTAATGTGAATGAGACAAAAATAAAATTGAATAAAATATACCAATATATATATCAATATATATATATATATATATTTGCTAATATATTATTTTACGTGTATTACAAATATTGACACAAAGCGAAAAAGTAAAATTTCACTAATCGTTTTAAATCCAAGTTGGCGGGGAAGAAAACCGAATAGTTTTCTTGTTGGCGGGTATTGCTACCCTATAGCGCAACTCAAATTACAGCCAGCGGCTATCTAGGCGCTGTTGCCGATGCTAAAGTAAAAACCGCAAATTTTGGGGAAAAAACGAAAAAAATAAATCGTAAAAATAATAAAAGTAATCTGGGCATTTACTAAACAAAGTAGAAAATACATAAAATTTAAATCAATTATGGTTTAAGGTAGTGATGAGCAAGTTATTTTTCAAACAGTGCACTGATTTGATTTGATTTGATTTGATTTTTTAATATAGGTGATTTCGTTTTGCGTTATACTGTTATAGCATTGATTAATATGTGACTTCTTCACTCAATGGTTATAGTTTAAAATTTTTATATAACATAATTTTCAACAGATTTTCGATTTTTACTGGAAGCTGCGCCTGATGATGTCATGACCATCTGTTTCTAGACGCAAGTGCAAGCAATTTCACAATAAAAGCCGGGTCTACAATTGTCGCAGGGGTGCGATCGCAGAACATAAGCTTGCGCAAAGCACCCAGCTGACAAAAGAACCTTGCTCCATCGCCACGTCGCGGGGTGCTTTGCGCAAGCTTATGCTCTGCGATCGGACCCCTACGACAATTGTAGACCCAGCTTAACATGGAAAATCTAAAAAAATAATTATTGTTAACGACTTAAGCACCAAACTTTCGGCAAACAGTACTAAGCTTTTGTACCGTATGTGAATGGGAGAAGAGAGCTGCATACAGAGGATTTGCACGAGTCCGGTGACCGGACTCCGGTCAAGTGGCGTGACCCAGTTGCGGGTAAATGTTCGGTAGAAGTGGCAACGTCGAGTTAAGGAATGAAAGGAGCCTGTGCGGCAGTGGCGCCGCCGTGTTCGACAACTGGCATTGATTCGGCGGTAGACATGTTTGTGTGGATAAATCGAGGGACCCCCCTGCTCTCAAACTAGTGCTGACATACGCGACAATACAAAGCCGAACCGTGCACCCAGACGTTTTTCGATCCTAAGCAGAATGCTGCAGGTGTCTGCTTGATTCTCCGGGTTCATTTCGCGGAGTGTGTGATCAAAAAGTGACGGCAGGCGGCGACAGGGTGTAGTGAAAAACAGTGAAGATCTATTTTTAATTTGACACTTTGGTGTGCTATTTCGGATTGGATTGGTAGTATTTTTAGTGCAGTATGCGGCCATTTTTTCACCTCTACGAACGGGAAAAAGTGTTTTTTGCCACCAGATGAATCTTCCTGATTCTCATGTCCACACGACGGGGATCAGCGGGAGGAAAGCAGCAGGGAGCAGCAGGTGTAACGACCATAACCAAAACAACTACGGCAACGGTGTGGTGCTGTGTTGTTTGTTGATTGTTAGTGCGTGAGAAAAGGTGAGTGCCCAATACACTGCTTCCTGTATACTTTTTAGTTTTTGACAGCACCCCAAGCAATCTTTGACACTTGATCCATGAAGACGAAACGATTTTTTGCTTAGTTGCCGTATTTTAATATAATCTAATATATCATATTATGTATTATTAATATAAAATATATTATGTAGTGTTAATATATAACATATTATGTAGTGTTAAATTAGACGTTAAACATGTCAAATGTATAATTTAGGTTAGGAAAGGTATTATTACATTCATTCACAGTAGGCATAAACCTTGGACCATATAATGTCCAAGTAATAAACAAATTTTGATTGTTTTAAAACTAAAAAGACTTGTTTTTACTAATTTCAAAAATAACTAGGTATAATTATTATAACCAAAATTTGGCATAAATTTTAATTGGTAAACTGCTGCCAATTCTAATAAATATCAGGTTTTAAAACGTCTTAGTTTATGGGGTGACAAAAACTTAAAAATACAGAGTGACATAAAATTCAGGTTACAAATCTTTTCACCTAGATAAAACTAATTTATGTAGGTACTTTTCTAGGAATAGGTAGTGTATTTTCATTTAAGAACGAAAAAATTAATAGAAATGTGTTAGGTAGACCTACCTACCTACCTACATAAAGTTTTTTTTAAATGAAATTTGACACATTTGATTATGTTGGTTACTTTGGTATTTTTAATATTTAAAATTGGTATTCCTGTTCAATGCATTAATTTTACTTTGAGTCAAAGTAAAATTAATGCATTGAACAGGAATAGGATTCCTAAGTCTTTGACCCACAATCCGCACAACAAGGTCTGTTCGATCTCATACTAAAAGTACTAAAAATCACTGCAACACTGCACATCATACAATGGCGGCCATTTTTGTTGTTTACAATTCTTGTGCTTTGTTTTGTACAGATTAATAATCGTTTTAAACGATGTGTTTCTTACAGAGAGACTTGCAATCCTTAAAAGAGACCTCAAAGTGGTAAGAACAATCATTTTACTCCTCTTTTGTAAAAAATTAACCTTATTCTATCAGGGCTGTCAAATGTCAATTTGAAGGTTAATTTAAGGTTATTTTACAACCCACAAATTAACCTTTAAATTGACATTTGACAGCCCTGATAAAATAAGGTTTATTTTTTACAAAAGAAGAGTAAAATGATTGTTCTTACCCCTTTGAGGTCTCTTTTAAGGCTTGCAAGTCTCTTTGTAAGAAACACAACGTTTAAAACGATTAATATTAATATCTGTACAAACCCAAAGCATAAGAATTGTAAACAACAAAAATGACCGCCATTGTATGATGTGCATGTTGCAGTGATTTTTAGTATTTTTACTACGAGATCAAACAGACCTTGTTGTGTGGATTGTGCTTTGACCCTTAAAACTGCCCACCCAGTTTAGGTTAGTTTGATGAAAATATATATTTTTTTATTTAAATTAGAAACGAAGTTCGCTGTTGCAACTTTAATTTTAAATATATGTCAAAACTGAATAAATAGAATTTTGTGAAGCCAAACCTTTTAATTAACGTATCACTTGTGGAGGTGCATTGTTGTGTGGATTGTGCTTTGACCCTTAAAACTGCCCACCCAGTTTAGGTTAGTTTGATGAAAATATATATTTTTTTATTTAAATTAGAAACGAAGTTCGCTGTTGCAACTTTAATTTTAAATATATGTCAAAACTGAATAAATAGAATTTTGTGAAGCCAAACCTTTTAATTAACGTATCACTTGTGGAGGTGCATTCCTAGACCAAACCTAGGGGTGCATTCCAAAACTCGGCTTATCCATATTAGTTGTTTTCAAGCAAAATGTCAAAAACCTTACAGGTGGGTTGAGTACTAACGCATATCGCAAACACAATACTTTAAACGAAATATATATATATATATATATATATATATATATATATATATATATATATATATAAACATTTATATGCCTTGATTAAAAAGGTATAGCTCCAGTTTAAAATAATTTAAAATTATAT